CAACGGTCTTTTCATATTTGGAGCCTGTTCTGCACAAAGCTCGGCTTGTTCTAGGGGGAGGTCGCTGCTTTTGAATTTTTTTCTTACTCATTTCCGAGGGTTGTGGCAATGTCTGGCACCCGGCTCTCTCCAGTGGAGTGTCCCCAACCAGAGGCTGTACCGGGCAGACCTCCTCGACTTCACAGGTGGTGGCATTCGGAGACCGAAAGGGGAGCAACTTCAGGAGGCTGTGCCGTTTCAACCCGCGGGCTCCCAGAGCTCCCAGGCGTTTCCCCAAATAGCTGCCTAACCCACGGAAACACACACTGGACGTTTTCATCGGCCAAACACCCATTTCCCTCTCAAATTATGCTAGACATGCCACACCCAGCAGACACAGGCCAAGGAGCTGGGCGTCTTAACAGGCCGGCCAACACACCCTCCAAGGCTTCACCAGAGATGCTGCGGGGGGCACGAGACGGTGGGATGAGACCCTCCCCAGCCTCCAGCCCACTCCTGCAGGCTTCCCTCAACCCCGCAGACTGTCCTTAAACCAGGGGTACAGATGGGCGCAGGAGCTAACACGGAGCTTCTAAGAGGTTCCCGACCCTTCAACAAACCACAGCCTCTCCCAGTCCTTACAAACCCTGATGGGCAGGCCCCTCGGATCCCACCTCCTAATATTCACATAGTGGTGTAATTCCCTCCCCGTCAGTGTGGGCTGTGCAGTGACTCACTTCTAACTGAGAGTCTACGAAGAGAACAAGTCACTTCCGAGATGAGGTTACAAAGAGACTGTAAGTTCCGGTTTTCTGCACCCCCGTCCCATCTCCCTGATGGAGACTACGTGCCGTGCGGTGTGCCACTCTAAGGAGAGGCCCACGTGGCAAGGAACTGGGGGCAGCCTCCTGCCAACGAGGAGCACAGGCCCTCCATCCAACAACCCCAGGAGGAGCTGCATCCTGCCGACCATGTGAATGAGCTCAGACGAGGTCCTTCCCCAGCCGAGACCTCAGGTCAGAGTGCAGCCCCGGCCGGCGCCGTCACTGCGCCCTCATGACAGAGCCTGAGGCAGAGGGCCCAGCTCAGTCCCATCCAGAGTCCTGACCCACAGAAAGTGCAGGATAATAAAGGTCTGTTGTATGAAGCCACTCCGTTCAGGGGTAACTTGTTATGCAGCAAGAAAAAGCTAACACTTGCCCCCTCTTCACAAATGAAAAGGAGAAGGTCTGGGCGAGGACGCGGCAGGGCTGGGATTCTCACTGAGGCCAGACACGCCGGTCACAGCCGCTTTTCCCCTCACCATGCGACCTTAGCCAGCCAGCTTACATTTTGGTCCCCGGAGCTATGAAGTGACAGCACTCGCTGGGCCTCCACGTCACCACGGATAACACAAAGATACTTAAAATGCATGCCTAAATGGGGTGCCTGGCTGGCTCAGCTGGAAGAGCACGCAACTCTAGATCCTGGGGTCGTGAGTTAGAGCCCCACACTGGGTGTAAAGATTATTTAAAAATAAATAAGTAAACTTTTAAAATAAAAAAAAGAGAAATGCATGCCTTAAAATAAGAAGACCTCAGATTCCTTTAGAAGGTCAGATCTCAAAGGAGAGCTGGGAGACGATCTAGTCTAGCCTCCTCCTTTTACGGAAAAAGAAACTGAGACCCACAGTCATAAAGTAGCACAGACAGAATTCAAATGCTGGCCGAGATGCCACATGACTCTAGGGATCTGGGAAATTTCAGCTCAAATATGCTGAACATACTTCTGATTTGCTGGCCAAGAAAATCCTGTCGGTAATAACTCTGACCTTTTTTGGCACACCACTGTTCATTAACGTCCTGTGGCGGCCCGTCATCCCCTTGACATTTCACCCTCTAACTTGGCAGCTTCTCCTACACCTGTCCCCCTAAGTCCTTCTGCACAGCGATGGGTCACAATAGGTAGACAATGGGCCTCCTGGTTAGCGTGAGAATGGAAAATCCTCATTCCCAGCTTATGCTGAGGCACAACCTAAGTTTACTTTGAAATTCTAGGACACACCAGGATGAGGACAGAGCATTTCCAACGAGAAACCTAAACTGGGCAGAGGTGTTCTTGAATCTCCAGGATTCCACAAGCTTGCCCAACAGGGACTAAGACTTCCATTATTTTTATAAACACACACTCCAGACACTTACAGTATAGATCATAAATATTTAAGACTAACTAGCCTAAGGACATTTTGTGAAGCATTCTTGCTAATTTTTTTTTTTTATTAGGCTCTTGCTAATTCTTGAGATTGAATAATCTCCAAAAGCCTTGTAGAGGTGGCTAGAGACCAATGCTATTCAAGGAATTCTATGCTCTCATCAACTTTTATACATACGTATATTTTATTATGAAAGTAACAGATGTTCACCATTCAGAGTTCAAAAAACAAAATATTACAAAGTAACCAGCACTTCTATCACCTGGAAATAACCACTCTGTTAATATTCTGTTCTATATATTCTTTAGCCTCTCCATATTTTAAAAGTTAAATCGAAGTTCTAGGGTATACACAGCCTCCTTTAATTTAACATCACTGTTTTCCCACATCCATTACCAGGAGACAGGAGTTTTAAATAGTCACGTAAGAATCTGCCATATGGATGCACCAAAGTTTAAATCAATCCCCTGTGAGAGATTTAGATTGTTTCCATTTTTCACTCTTATAAATGTCGATAATAAAGTGTTTATTTATAAATTTCTTTTGTACAATTCATGATTATTATAAATGAAGGGGCTAGGTTACCCATCCTATTCTAGAAATTAAGGAACAATTAGCAAAAAAACACACAAAGATCCCTGCCCTTGTGAGGCTAATATTCTAGCAGGGGAGGCAACTGAAGTTACTAAAGGTAAAAGTAATATTTTAGGGGTGCCTGTGTGGCTCAGTTAAGCATCTGACTCTTGATTTCATCTCAGGTCATGATCTCGGGGTCATAAGATTGAGCCCCTCATGGGGCTCCATGCTCAGCACAGAGTCTCCCTCCCCCACTGCCTCTCCCCCCCCATTGGTGCATCTCCCTCTCTCTAATACTATGAATAATAAAATCTTTAAAAAAAAACTATATAGTATTTTATTAGGTAACACAGGCTATGGTTTAAAAAAAAAAAAAAAGGAAAGGCAGGACAGGACAGAATAAGGAGAATCAGAAATTTATAGTGAGAAAACCTACAAATATAAATACACCTCATTTTAAAGCTTCTGAACACATACTACCAAACTACTCTTCAGGAATGGTGCATAAACTTTTCTACCCCTTTACCGTAACAGGGTGTTTGCTTTCTAATAAATTCTTTGTTGGGAAATAAAATACATTCTTGGTAGAAAAAAAACACAAAAAGAGCTCAACCTCATTGGTAATCAAGTAAATTAAAACAAGGAGCTACTTATTTGACTCTTCAAATGGAATGGGCAACCTGAATTTGTCCTTCATATGAGTTATTTATCCATTCATATTTTTCTTACCCATTCACATTCTTTGCTCAATTTTTGTTTTTTTTTAAGATTTTATTTATTTAACAGAGAGAAACGCGCAAGCAGGGGGAGCGGTAGACAGAGGGAGAGGGAGAAGCAGGCTCTCCGCTGAGCAGGGAGCCCGATGTGGGACTCGATCCCAGGACCCTGGGATCATAACCTGAGCCGAAGGCAGACGCTTAACTGACTGAGCCACCCAGGCGCCCTAAGATTTTTAAGTAATCTCTACCCCCAAACATGGGGCTTGAACTCCCGACCCTGAGATGGAATCAAACGCTGCACTGAAAGAGTGAGCCAGGTGCCCCACTTTGCTTATTTTTCTATTTTGTGTATCATTGATTTTAAGAGCTCTTTATATGTTAAGGATATTCAGGACAAACTCTGTCAACTATATGTGCTTTCAACATCTTTTCCTGGTTTGTCCTATGCCTTTAAATTTTGCTGTTAGTGCCCAGCATACAGAATTTTTTTTTAGGGCGCCTGGGTGGCTCAGACGGTTAAGCGTCTGCCTTCGGCTCAGGTCATGATCCCAGGGTCCTGGGATCGAGTCCCGCATTAGGCTCCCTGCTCCTTGGGAGCCTGCTTCTCTCTCTCTCTCTCTCTCTCTGTCTCTCATGAATAAATAAATAAAATCTTTAAAAAAAAAAAAGAATTTTTTTTTTAATGCAGTAAATTGGTCTTTTCTGTTATGATTTCTTCACTAGAAGAATTAGGTCGAATATTTCTCCCTGTCTCACATTAAGATTAATATTAACTTATACTTTCTTGTAGCTCTTTCATGATTTCAGTTTTCCTCTTACCTCTCTAATTTATCTGGAATTTATGGTAATAGATGCTGTGAGGAATGGCTCTATCTTAATTTTTTCCCTATTTGGTTATCTAAGTATGCTACAGCAATTTATTGCATAATAAACAAGATTGCATAATACTACAGGCCATAAAGCACGGTGTCAGAGAACCCAATGGTTTTGCTGTCAGTCAGATCAGTGTTCAAGTCTGAGTGACTCTGGGCGAGTTACTTAAACTCTCTGAACACAAGTGAATGGAACTATTCAAAGTGTCTACCTCATACAGTTCTTGCATAGATCAAATGACCTAAGTTCCTGTGAGAGTGTTTAGTATAATGCCTGGCACTTAGAAGTACTGGAATAAAATGTGAGCTTTTATCATTTTAATTCCTCTCACTTATCTGAAATGCTACCTTTACCAAACACGTTTCTATTTGATTCCACTGCATTGAGCGGGCTCTATAATATTTTGTAACTGAGTTTTCCAGATATATGAGAAAGCTAATGATTTTTGAAATTTTGCTTTGTAACTGAACTCTATGCTAAATTCAATTTAACTGTGTACTGGGTATTCTATGACGACACATGTGCAAATGATTTTTGTTTCTTTTTAACCATTATTTGACTTTGCTTTGTATACTCTGGCCAATTCAATAAGGCAGGAAAAAAGAAATGAGTACCCTGGGCAATCTATGTTTTATTCCCAGTTTCATTCTGCTGCCTCTCACCGTTCATCAGTGAGCTTCCAGCTGGTGGTGTTGGGGCTGCTGGTTTCTTCAAATTAATGCAATCTCTTCATAGGTTGGTTTGGGGTTTTTTTGTTGTTGTTGTTGTTTTAATCTAAGCAAACCAGGAATAAGAGGAGAGAATTACCAAATGTCTTTTTTTGATATATATTATGTTTTTCTTTGTCCTACTTAGGTGATGCATTGAAGAATAGACATTCTAATGTTAAGCCCTTCTTACAATTCTGGAATAAACCCTATGTGGTCATGATTCTTTCAAAATGCCACTGATTTCTATCTGCAACTGTTTTCTATGGTGTTTTTGCACCTACACTCATGCCTGAGCTCAGTCCTCAGCCTTCTTTTTGTATCATCTTTATAATGATGTTGGGTTCCCAGAGTTATGCTAGCTTTGTTAAAAAAAAAAAAAAATCAACTGGAACGCTTTATCTCTTTTTCTATGCTCTGAAACAGTTTATTTAGCAGGTAATTATTTTGCCCCCCAAAGTTTAAAAGAACTCACCCATTAAAGGGCTTGCATCCAGAGCGCTTTTGGAAGTATTTTTTTTTTTATAAATGTTCAGTTTCTTCTCTAGTTCCTTGTTTCAAGTTCCAGACTTCTGAGTCATTTCCCTAGAATAGCCATGTCAACTGAGATTTTCAAAATTGTTGTATTTTAAGTTACTTTATTTTTGCTATAAAATAATTCCTTCAAATATAACTTATAATTTGCTACTCTTTTTATACATCCCATAAACTCATTTTTAGTTCTGTGTATTTGGGTCTTCTCTTTTTTTAATGAGGCATGATAGTGGTTTGCTCTATTTCCTTGAGTTCCCCCCCGCCCAAATACATAGCTCTCAGACCTACAACTTCAATATTTTTGCCTGTTTTCTAATTCATTAATATTACTTGCATCTCATTAGGCTTGTTTTATTCTTTCCAACTTTGACTTGAATACTTAATTCACTTCATTTTCTCTTATGTAATAATGAAGGGATTTAAAGCTATGAATGGGGCGCCTGGGTGGCTCAGTTGGTTAAGCGACTGCCTTCGGCTCAGGTCATGATCCTGGAGTCCCTGGATCGAGTCCCGCATCGGGCTCCCTGCTCGGCAGGGAGCCTGCTTCTGCCTCTGACCCTCCCCCCTCTCATGTGCTCTCTCTCTCTCATTCTCTCTGTCTCAAATAAATAAATAAATAAATAAATAAATAAATAAATAAATAAATAAATAAATAAGTAAGTAAGTAAATAAATAAATAAGTAAGTAAGTAAATAAATAAATAAATAAATAAAGCTATGAATGTGCCCCTGGGTATAATTTTGGCAATAACCCAGACATCCAGGTATCCAGAATTCTCAGTATTTCCCAATGATTCTGTGGCAGGAATTTCATCTCCTCTTTGACCCGAGTGATTCGGGAGCATATTTTTAAATATTCAAGTAACTGGATTTCCTTCATGGTTTTATTATTAAGTATTCTATAGAGTATAAAAACATCTCTGAAAGAAGATAAAGAAACTCTGACAAAGGGGGGGAAATATTTTAGGCAGAAAACACTACTTAAGTACTGAAAAAAGTATTTTATAATGCTGTGACAGTCCTCTCCAAATATATACCTTCTAGAAGGGATACAAGAGCAGGTGATTCTGGGGAACTGAGTGATTGCGGGGCTCACTGCACAGGAAGAGAGGGAGAGGAAATCTCTGTACCTTCTGAAAATTTTATTATGGGCATGTATTGCCTGTTTAAAAATTCATTTAAAAAGCAATGCCATCTCTCAATAAATGGAATTAAACCATCCCAGATAGACTGTGTAAGTATATAACCAAGTAAATTTCCATACTTTCTTTGATGAAATTTAGAGATTAGTTTCATTGAGCAAGACTTGGCTCCAAAATGATAAACATCTGTGGCTAGAAAAGGGAGGAGGTAAAAATAATTTCTAATTCTGGAACCTCCAAGTTCAGAAGAATTAAGAGCTTCAAGGAAAAGGAAGTATCCAAAAAAAAAAAAAAAGTTTCATCAGGTTTCAACCAGACTACCATTTTGAAACCTGAATTCACAAATGTTCAGCTGAGAAGGTGGTAGAATTCCCAGTTTCACCCTCAACGAGCCTTTCCCATCTTAGGAATGCTCCACACATTCTGCCTCTCGGTTGTTGCAGACCTCTCCACTCTTACTCAAAATGAGTTGTAATCCCAAACTAATACAGTTAACTTGTGATTATAAACATTATGCCACTGTCCTTCCCACCAATTTTGCAATGTCGAGTTTCTTAAAAAGGAAAAAAAACCCCTCATTATTCTGTTTTCCAATTTACGTTGAAGAAATCTGTTTCCCACTTTCTAGTTTCTGCAACTGGGAAATTCTGTATATTCTGTTACCATACAACGAAGGATGCCAGTAAACAGCCCCTGCCTGCACGCACGACAGATTACACTGAGTATGGAATTCCAAACACTACCAAGTTATGTGCTCCTTGGAGTATTACCAGAGAAATGTGATTTAATGCCTCATCTATTTAAAAAAAAAATTCCATATGGATGAAAAATTAGTCTACTAGCTTGAATACGGGGAAGATATAAGAAGTAGTCATTAACACAACATATAACGTATATTATATAATACACAATATAAAATGCAATCGCTTAAGATCTAGACCATACTATATATGCAAGGATAAGGTGGTAGGAAAGCTTAGGAACTCCGAATGTCACCAATTACAAGGCATCAGCTCCGGGCTGGCTACCAAAACTGCCCCCCGCACTGGGGCTGGAGGTGACCAGCGGCAGAAGTCAGTGGCATCCTCTGCACCTCACTTGATCAGTTAAGAAACTCTTAAAGGGGCAAAGCACCTTGGGACTTCGCTTGAAAGCACTGATGGAAGCGCAGCCCCTTGAGAAAGGAGCACTTAGCAAGGCATTCTGAGAGCTAAGAGGCTGCAGAGCAAAGCATGCCCAGCTCTGGGGAAGGAGACAGCCCCGTTCCCCTTGATGGCCCGTGTGCCAAATGGAGGTCCAGACCCAGCACTGTGCCCCCGCTTCGTCCCCCTGTCCTGGTGAGCCCCAGAAGGCTTAGCAGCCACTGGTGCTAAAACAAAACACAGATGACAGGAAGACCTCCTGCCCTTTGGCCATTCCCTAGCAAAGGGGAAGTGTAAAAGTGCAGGGGGCAAGGCAGGCCAGCCGCATTAATCCCTGTTTTGTTCAGCAGTAATTAATAGTATAATCCACATTTAAGATGCATTAAAGCAAAAATGCTGCGTTATCAGAGAGCTCGGTGCATCGCCCCGAGGCAGAACCTCCCCTGCTGACCTGTAGGACCAGGTCACCTCATCTCGGCCTCCTCCTCTCGGGGGAGCGGACTCTGGACACCCCATCAAAGGACTGAGCTGGCAGCCACAAGTCTTGGGTGGGCCGACGTGCTCCGTGTCCGTCTTCACAAACAACCCCTCCAAGGCCGGGCTGTCCGGCACCCAGGGTCTACTCAAACCAAGGAGGCATTCGAATCCAGGGGCTAACACGGAACACTTTAGTATCACAAGTCCCCAGATGGGTTTTTAAGATTGAAGCTAACCACCCGCCCTGCCCCGAAATAATGCTGGGATAGCGCATGGAGAATTCTGGTGCCCTTTAGCTCAGTTCGGCAGGCTGCTCTTTTGTGGCATTCCCGGGGTGTTTCACACAAATCCCGGGGGCACCAGGTGGGTTTCTATCACAGAGGAGACGTCAGCTGCGGCCTCGCGGGCCCAGGGAGGGGGAAGGCTCTTCTCCACCAGCACCGAGACGCTGTCTTTCAGAAAGGAGTGCTATCAGCTCATCAAGCACAAAGCGCGTTCAAGCCACAACCAAAGCCAGAGCCACTTCAAACCGATGCACGTGGAGAAGCAGAGTCTCCTCAACTATGCTTTGTGGTCACGGCTGACTGAGAACCTGATCTCAGTTCTGCACCACCACCCCAACTCGTGGAATACGTACGCCTAAGAGCAGGCGGGGAGCCTCACAGTCCTGTTCAACCTCATCTCAGCTCACCTCTGCACCGTGACAGGGCCCCACGCCCGTGGCTGACATGTGACAGGGGCCACGAGCAGTGGCAGCAACTGGCCTCCATCCCAAAGTGCTTCTTGGAACTTCTTTGGTCGTCATCTGGGCAAATGGGTATGAAGAAAGAGGAATGTGATAAAAATCACTTTTCTCTCAAGTTTTGAGATCCTGGCATGTGGGAGGGCAACCAACTACCTATACTTGTTCCAAAAATCGTGCCTTTATGATCCTTACCTAGAACCACACACATTCCTCCATAATGTTGTTTAATTACTCCGTTGCCAAAAGGGGCAATTCCAGAGTTCAAACTAACACTTCCAGGGGCTGGCCAAGGAATGAAGTATCATTTGCAATTGCACTTCTGGTAGAAAATGTCTCCATGATGGTTCTAGAAACATATCCCCATGTGATGAACATGTTCTCCTCTGAGGCTGCCAAAAAAGTCATTATCCAGTGACTGGACATACCACCTGGGTACACAGGGACCATTTCTGACAACATGTCACAGACTTGCCACTCAGGCAGGCAAGGCGCCTGGTCAAGAGGTTGTACAAGGGGCGCAGAGGGGAGGCCGCCATCCCACCCACCAACTCCGGCTGCCTGTTTGTATCCTGCAGTTGACCCCTCAAGTGCTGTCATTCTCTCCTGAAACTTTGCTCTTACTCTTACGACGCCTGGATTCTTCCTCAAGAAACCTTTATAAACACCTTCTTTCTCCCTCCAGGACTACTCTTGGCGCCTCACTACATTACAATTTATTTGGGGTGGAGAGAGGCTACCAAATTTCCCCTCAAAGCCTTCCCCCTCCTTCCCAAGGAAAAATCCTTTGCCTGAACAGGTACACTGCTTCATGCTTTCACAGAAACACTCGGTTTAGCTTTAGCTCCCCCAGCCATCCAACTCCAGGCCCACGTGGGGCTTTCCTTCTTGGTCAACTGCACGAATTCCTCCACAGGACCCCTGTGCTGACAGCCCCCCAAGATGTCCATGTCCTAATACCGGGAACTTGTGGATGTGTCACCTCATATGGCAAATGAGACTCTGCAGATGGGATCAAGAAAAGGATCCTGCAAAAGAGTGCCAGGTGGGCCTGAGGTCATCACAGGGGTCCCTATAGCTCAAGAGAGCTAGATATTAAAAAAAAAAAAAAAAAAAAGGACGCAAGAGAAGAGTCAGAGAGAAATAGACATGGTCATGGGAGCAAGAGGTGGTATAATGGAGAAAGTGATCGTGTGCCAAGGAATACGGGTTGGTGCCAGAATCTAAAAAATGCAAGGAAATGAATTCTCCCCTCCGAGCTTCCAGAAGGAAGGAGCCCCGGCAACACCTTGACGTCAGCCCAGTGAAAGTGACTTCCAAATGCTGGGCTCCAGAACTGTTAGACAATTACTCTAAGTTGCTTTAAGCCACCAAGTTCATGGTAACTTGTTACAGCATCAATAGGAAATGAGTACGACCCTTCTGGAGAAGAGGAGAGAGTGACAATGAGCACACAGAAATGGGAATGTCCCTGAACGTCAGGATGAGCTGTCCTCCTTAGGGTCCACACAGCCTCCCCTCGAAGCTCTGTGAGCCAGCTGAATCCTCTCTTTCCCCGTCATCAAAAAATCACAACCAAAGGTCCTCGATGCCATAAGCAATGTGTGTTTTGAGGGTGGTGCTCAGTGGGACATCTTAGAAGTAGACAGAAAAACCTCCCACACTCGCCTACTACGCTTGAGATTCACAAATATCTACAATAAGCCATAGGAACAACAGAGAAACTGTAAACAAAGAATATATGTGTACAACATTTTTATCTAATAGAAGAACTGGACTAAAAAAAAAAAAAAATCTATATGGAAGAATCACCAGATCCAGGGCTCCTTTTATCAAATGGACACAGCCAGGCCACGCCAACCTCACCCAACCTTGCCCAAAGGATCCCACGGGTGGGCTGGCCTGAAGCCTCACTGTGATGCCAGGCAGCCAGCCTGAGGAAAACCAGGGCTGGTGCCCACTGGGCTCCTGCAGACAAAGAGAGGAGGAAAGCTCTGGAAGGTGGTGGCATCTTGCCCACCTCCGTGGTAGCCTGAGGCCACTGGATCTTGCCATCCCGCCAGCACCTGGGAGGTGTGAGCCAGGCAGCCGACCACATCAGAAGCTGGCTGCCGGCCGGCCCCAGTTGCAGAACACCTCCACAGAAGCCAGCTTTCCAGGACCAGGTGTTACACACCACACAGGTACAGGCCAATGTTGACCAAACTCAGCCGTGGCGCCTTGAAGAACATCCCACATGAAGACCGGCCGGACAGCGAGGGAAAGATGTCCTGTTGCACAGCAATTTAAATGCATTTGTGCTTCACACTGGCCTCTATGCAAAGAATATTCTTCTCACTACGCAGACGAGGATCCCACCAGGGTCCTCCTCCTTCAGTCTCCCGCAGCTTTCTTTCCATCACGAGTCAGGCCTTCTGTCCTCCAAACCCACCATAACCATATGCTCCTCATTCTCCGGGGCCTACCAACCCTCCATGTTTGTCTACACGCTCCCAGTCTGGCCCGTGTCCTTAACGATAACAATCAGCATGAAGTATCGTGTCAGAATGTTCTAGGTAGGGGTAACTAGGACTGCTCAACGTGATCTAAACATGCCATTTCAGTGTGCACGTGCAAAGCGCGACTTTCAACGGGGTGAAGTCGTTAATAAATAAATAACCCGACCTTCCCCTAAGGGCTCACGTTCGGCCTCCTACTTGACAAACATATAACCTTGAATGTTCCAAGTCTAGGAGAAGGTGAATCCTGGCAAAATAGGCAGGTAACCTGCCCAGGAGTCCAAATCTTTCTGCTACTTGCCCAGTTTCTCTTTACCTATGGCTTCTGGTGCCCTCCTCAAAATAAGCCAGCCCTAGAAATAGAATCCCATCTTCCTTAGCGCTTATGACTAATTTATGGCCTTCTTTTAAAGTCCTTGCACCAGAGCCCTGACTACAGTAATTTCCTCTTCTTCTATATGAATGTCCATTTACAGCCACTCTGTAACCTCTGCATGAACCGAGAATATTCTCCGTGCCTCCCACGGATGTGGGATCACGCCCTGGTGAGAGCCGGGTGGCTCTGGAGCAGAGTCTCTCCATTACAGCGGAAGCTCACTTGGGACCCTACCCAAGTGCAGCTGTATCTCCCTAGGGAGTAATGTGAATACTCCCCTTTTGCTTGAATGAGCCTTTCTTTTAAAAAGGCAAACCTTTAAAAAGACCCTGGCCGGGTCGCCAATTAGCATGTAGCATGTAATCTGAAGACACGATGTGGGTTTACTTAACACATTCAGATTAAGGGGAGTTGGGGAGTCTTAATTCTGTTTTCGTTCGGGGAAGACAGCATGGGAAGATGTCCCCAGAAACATCCTCTGCTGGCCACAGGAGAAGGAGACTTCAAAGGGGTATCTGAGTGCTCCCAGTTTTCTCCAACCTGCCCCTGCGCATCCTAAAGGTTCCCCTGGCCCAGCTTCCAGAATCTAACCAATCCCATTCTCCTCTGCCACACTTCCCTGGGCTCCCCGCCCTCACATCTAAATACTGCCTTCTCTTCTACAAGGCTAACCCGAGCCATTCTGGTCGGTGGCACAACCCAACAGCTGACTTCTCCAATCCCAGGGTCCTAGAAGACACAGTCCTGCACCAAGAGCCTTTCCATCTTAGCAACCTTACAGTCAGAGCCCGTCCGGGGACTTGTCCATCCCCGCACTCAAATGTCCGGGTGGCTACGGCATGACGGGGATTGTCCTAGGGCTAGGGATGGCAATGAGCAGCGGATCAAAGGGGCCAAGACCCCTGCTGCCAGTAGTTTGTGCCACGGCAGGCTCTCATGCCACAGGCCCTGCCCCCATCACAGCTCTGCACATCCTCCTCCCGCCCCTACTCTGACTCTCTTCCGGGAAGGACTTCTCCATTTGAGCTGGAAAATTCTGGGGGTTTTGCGGGGGGAAGCTGGGAAGACCGACGTTTTCACGGGTTTTGATCTTATAAAAAAAATTAAGGGCGCCTGGGTGGCTCAGTTGGTTGGGCGATGGCCTTCGGCTCAGGTCATGATCCTGGAGTCCCGGGATCGAATCCCGCATCGGGCTCCCTGCTCGGCAGGGAGTCTGCTTCTCCCTCTGACCCTCCCCCCTCTCATGTGCTCTCTCTCATTCTCTCTGTCTCAAATAAATAAAAATCTTTAAAAAAAAAAAAATTAACTTTGCGCAATAAATGGCCAGAATTTTCTTTAATTGAAGTTTTTAGGGGCCCCTGAACTAAATGAACCCATGCCGGGTGTATGCTACCATAGTCTCTTCATCTTGGGAATCTGAAGGCGCTCTTTTGCTTGGAGACTGAAGCCCGTCTCTGTCAATTCTACACGCTGACCCCTGTTGGTCAAACCATCTCCCCGATGGATCCTTGTCTGCCATGATTTTATCCCCAGAGCTACTCTCATTCTCATTCAGAGGTGATCCTCCCTCAAGCCAACCCTCAAGAACTCTGTATCCAGTTCTGCTGCTGCCCTAGCAGCAACACCAAGTGTCTGGGCCCACAGAGACTGTGGCCCAGCTTCCTAAGAACAGGGCCCAGGAGACACAGCAGAACTCCATTCCATCGCGTTCCGGTAACTGCACTTCCTTCGACGCATCCTGCAGGAGTCCCGAGAGCTGTCACTGGACCTGACAGTAAAACAGCAAGATATCTGGCACTTTCTCATCCGGTCTCCAGACACAGAGTCCTCTGGGGCAAAGACCCTGTGGCCAGTTCATCTTGGGAAGTGGCCAATGCTGCAGAAGTTGCCAACAGCAAGCGAATGCCCGCTCGCTCTGCTTTATCATCAAGGCCCAGGAAAATGGCCCTCAGGCACAACACTAAGCCCTAGAGGTGCCTTCGAATCTTCTATCAGCAGCAGCGTGCGTGTGTGTGAGTGGTGCGTACATACGACTCACATGGTATACAGGCCTCTGCCCCCCTCCCACATCTGCACACACATCCACCCTTCCTGACGCAGCATCCCGGGCCCCTCCCGGCCACGCTGCTGTGGGAAGGGGCACCACTCTCCTGTCCAAACCTGAGCTGCCCCTGGGTGGTTGCTCTACATGGCTGACACTGGTACCCTCAGATGACCACTTCTCCTTGTGGAGACTGTCCTGCTCTAAAGGGCTTGAACCTGGAAAGCGTGAGTCATCAATCCCCGCAGGACGCAACTCCTCAAACCAGAGTATGAGCCAGTTCCTAGAGAGATTTCTCCGGTCTCTCTTCCCCCACCCC